AGTTGTTGCTGATACAAGAAAATGATAAAGCTACATAGAGTTAAAATTTTCTATTGCAAGGACTATTTTGCCCCTGTCATGACCAAAATTATCTTCGTCCCCTGCTTCCAATTTGGTGAGGTTTCGATGATACCTCCCTGCATTGACTTCAAGTCAATTCCATCGTCAATGGCGATTGGCAATAAAAAAGTAATGAGTAGTTTTACGGACTCTAACCTCTCTCGACTAGAATCGGTGAATGTGCACAGGGAGATCCACGCAAACTGTTTCTTACTACAAAAAAAAGTTAAAAGAAAAAATTATTTTTTGAAACCCTAAAATAAAGTAGTCATTCAATTTTGGAGTTTGTGAAACTGACTTCATGAATAAAAGGAAGGGAAAAAAAAGTATATTCGGCTAACAAGAAAAGAAATAAGTTTTGTATGGACAGCTTCGTAGTCCAACACTGTTGAAGTCTTTAACTGCTTCTATATCTGAAAATCTCGAGAATGTTTTCTCGGAGAAAACACTCCGACGCTTAAGTTAACAATACTCGATATTCTAGAGAGAGATGTTCTCAATGAGTAATTGCAGAGAGAGAAGCGTAGAGATTAATTACCTTTATCGAAGGTAGTTGGGGGGTATTTATAACCCCAAGTGCTGACATGCATCTGTACATGTAAGCATCTCATTGGTCCACGTGGCGCTGTTCACGTGGGTATGTTTGTACTGGTGCTCCCTCACTTTGGGCTAACGGGTGTCAGCTTAGGCCCATTATGTATGGCCTAAATTGGATGTTGGGCCTATTCCAACATTACTCCCCCCTCGGTGTTCGGTTGACGAACTGGGTTGAATGTGCGTATGGCCCAACGTTTGAGCTGGCGATTAGGACGGACAGCCTTAGCAGCTCGCGACCGACCTCGTTGACGGCCGATTTGAAGGATGGCACCGAGTAAGACGAGCTCGAGAGCCTGAAAGTATACAGGCGAGCTGGTATCCGAAACCTAACTAGCATGGGCTCGGTATATCCGCGGGCTGAAGTGGCTCACAAAAGGTGAGCTCGCCCAGCGAACGACCATGCGCTCAAATTTAAAGTGTTACTCGCTATTCCAACGAGCTCGGCCACGTTGACATAAGCGCGAGTGAATGTGTAGCGACCTGAAATAGTGTCAAAGGCCTTGAAGTGACTAGGTGATGTTCACTTGAATAGAGTGACGATCTGAGATGAAGCGACCTCAAAATCTGTGATTTCTACCGAGCTGCTGCTCTTGTGACGACCTGATAAAGGTGGTCACAATGACGAGCGTATGTGGATGGGATAGGGAACAGATCAACCTGTTACGATTTGAATCATGGGGATTTTTTGAATCAATCAAATCTCAGCTGCTGCCCTTGTGACAACCTGACAGATGCGGTCACAATGACGAGCTGATGTGGACGGGACAGGGAGCATATCCGCCTGTTACGATCTGAATCTCGGAGATTTTTCGAATCATTCGAATCACTCGAATCACTCAAATCTCTGAGGAGATACGATTGATCTCCCTGTATCTCTCTGCCTTCCCCGCCATAAATGCTGGCTCAGCATTTGAGGGATGTGACAGCTAAAACCGGCGCACGCTATACGAAAGGGGGTTAAACGCATGCCACGTGTGGGACGCTAACTGGCGCGTTAGAGACATGCGTACGGCGATTAACACTGCAATTTCAGTTTTATTTTTTGCATAACCGTTCCCTTTTCCATTTTCATTTCACTGTTTGCTTGAAACCTGTTGAGATTCTCTGTAGCGAAACACTCCAGCTTGAAGAACAGAGCAACACACTATAGTTTCACATCACTTTCAGGTAAAATGGATTCCTTTAGAGAACTTACAGAGCTACGAGGTAACCAAGGCAGAGAGGAAGAAGAGGAGGGAGTTATATCTGTAGAGCCTATCACGATTATAGTGTCGCCAGCACTGCAGGACTTGTCGAAAACGTTAACGCCTGAGAGCAGCGCTAGTTCGAGCGCTAGGGACAACGGTGGCACCACCAAGCTTCATCGTCCAGCAGCTCGTCCTTTGAGGAGACACCCAGCCACGAGAAAGGGACGGGGAATGTGGTTGGCAATGACCCAGATCTGCCCGTGGTTCGAGAATGGGAAAATAGGGTGCTCACGGGCAGACTGAGCAACCTACGCAAGGTGCCCAAGGACCTGCCCGCTGGATTTAGATTCAGGGCGGTGCTTCATCATGAAGTAGTAGACAGCGCGCCCTCAATAAGTGGGTACAAGAAATTAGAGGATATGGTGAGGGCGTACCACATTCCCCGGATGATATTGCTCCGAGCAGGCGCAAAGAATGAGAGGGCATGTACCGTGTCAAGGACGGGCTGGATACCAGTGTACGTGGATCAGTTTGAGGCCGGCCTACGATTTTCCCTGCCCGGGCTAATATTCGACCTACTGGCAGACTACGAGGTGGCTCTGACGCAGCTGACGCCCAACAGCATAAGGTTCATCATAGGCTTTATGCTGTTGTGTGCGAGGTTGGAGGTGCCAGCGAAGGCGATAGTGTTCAGGTCGCTGTTCCAGTGTTGGCTGTGTCCCAACTCCAGAGGCGCAAAGTGGTATTACCTCTTCAGGAGAGAAAAGAGCCAGCTGTTCAAGAACGTTAGGAACAAAGTGGCGAGGTGGAAGAGGCAATTCGTCTTTGTTCGCGATACGCGAACAAAGAGAATAAGCAACGACCTTGCTGCTTAGCTATCTGAGTGGCGTGTGCCGAATGCACACATCAATTACCCTCAACTGCTGCCACGAGACACGGATCTCAAGAATTAGCTACTGGAACATGCGAGGAGGGAAAATTTGATAGACTTAGAGGCCCTGGTTACCTCGAAGCAGCTCGCCGTGTTCGGGTTTGTTGACATGGCAAACCTATTCACAAAAGGTATAATTTTATCATATAGTACGAATTCAAGCCGAGCTGAGTCTTATACATTTGTTTGTGCAGGAGAAATGAGCAGCATACTCGAACGCCAGCGTCAATGAGCCCAAGGCTCCCAAGGTCGCGCAACGGGCGACACTTCGCAAAGACAGACGCGGTTCGACGAGCGGCCACCTCCAGCGCCACAATCACGCAGCTCGTCGCATAGTGGCTCCAGCTTGGCGTCCAAGCCTTGCGCCGAGCAGCGGGTTGAAACTGTGGCCCCCAGTGCGCGCAGGCGTGCATGTGAGGAGACTGACAGTGAAGATGAGGTCCTTCTCATGCGGCGTAGAACAAGTGGGGGGACTCAGCCCGCTCAGGCGGCTCAACCTGCGGCCGCGCGCTCATCAAACACGCCATCAGCCACGGCGCGGGTAGCAGCGGAGCCCGCATCTGCGTCGGCCTCAGTGTCGGCGTCCAGGATCGCGTATCCAGACGGCTTCAGCTATGTGAAGCCTGACTGCCATCCCCCCATGGTGCAAGGCATGCAAAGCTTTGTGCCTCCCGTGGATCGTCAGCGGGCAAGGACTTTTGTGCAGCAGCATGGCGGGCAGGTCGCCATGGTCAAGTTGATGGACGTAAGTATTTACTCACACTAACGTAATTGTTTTACTAGTCCATTCTAGAGACTTACAGTTATTGCTGTTTGGCAGGCATTCAGCTACGCGGTGGCGTTGTTTGAGAGCGAGCAGGGGGCTCGCTCTTAGAATAACGAGCTCAGCGCCAACTGCAAACAGTTGGCCACAAAAAAGACCAGTCTTGTGAATGATGTCAATCATCTGCAAGGCTTGGAGATGGCCAATCGAGCTGCTGCAGCGGAGAGCCAAGCAGATGAGCTCGCAAACAGAAATAATGAGCTCAGGGAGGAGCTCGAGCGGGCTTGCGCCGAGAAAGGGAGCGGAATCCAGGTGGTGAAGGATGAGACCGCCCGCGTTGAGGAACGGGCCAAGAAAGCTGAGGCCGAAAGGGAACGTGCTCTGAATGAGCTGAGCTCCCTTAAGCACCAGGTCGCCGAGGCCGCGAGGAATCTCAACGCTGCTGAAGAGGCGCTGAATGAATTGAAGATATCTCACAGGCGCTCTGTCAGCATCGCCCGCGCTCAAGGTGCAGAGTGGCTGGTGGGCTCGGCCGCGTTCCAAGACGCTGTGATGGTGGCGTCTGCAAACATGACCACGGAGATCTACAATGAGATCCGTGGTAAGGTGCTGCACCATCGCCCGGACTTCCCCATATGCGAGCTGGCGTTTTTTGACGGGGAGGACATTGACGAGCAGGGTAAGAGCCTTGCTCCCCTCGCTGATACGACGGTGTGGTTGAGATGGGATCTCAACGAGGAGGGTGTACCTGTCTGGCCTCCTTCAGTTCTAGAGGAAGGGGAGGATCCAACGGGGCTGCCCTCCTTTGACGGATGGGTGGAAGGGGCTCCTGTTGCTGAATAGAAGCCATCAAGCACTCCGCCAACCTCTCAGCCCGTTGTGGTGTCGGCCAGGTCGCCTGTCAGTGCACCAGCTCTCGAGCCCGCAGCCCGCTCGCCTCCAGCTCGCTCCTTTCCTTCAGCTGCTGATGCGTCCATGCCCGTCGATCTGACGGATGATTAAGTTTAGGATTTTTCCTGTTGATCTTTTGTATTTTTTTTTTGTTTCTGCATTTTTGTATTGATCAATGGATTCATTCCATATGTAATTCAAATGTAAACATCCTTGATGAAATACAAACATGAATTTTGCTTTGAAATTTTTGTATCCATTCCATGTTTTCTGTACATTGTCGTTTACAATTGCTCGATAACAACTTGAATAAGTTAATAGTGTACACGTTAACTGTAAAATTTTCTAAGATTGTGTATGTTCCAAATGAATGGTAACGGACAACCATGTAGATCTGCCAACATATAAGATCCAGGTCGCTTAACTTGAACAACTATATATGGACCTTCCCAATTGGGAGCGAGTTTGCCCATGTGTGAATAAGCATTGGTTAATCCAGCTTTGCGTAGAACCAGATCGCCGACTTGAAATTGACGTGCTCGAACTCTTTTATTATAAAATTTTGCAACACGACTTTGATGCGCCATGTTTCTTATTCGAGACATCTCCCTGATTTCTTCCACAAGGTCTAGGTTCTCCTTAAAAGTTGCTCATTGTGATTGTCGTTGTGCCGATCTGCTCTGTCAGATGGCAATCCGATCTCTATAGGGATGACGGCCTCTGCTCCATAGGCAAGGCTGAATGGAGTGTCGCCTGTGGCTGAGCTGGGTGTAGTGCGACATGACCAAAGCACTTTATTGAGCTTGTCAACCCAATTAGAATGTGCAGCCAAAACACGCGTCTTGAGGCCTCGCAAAACGATTTTATTGGCAAACTCGGCTTGTCCATTAGATTGTGGAGTATACACAAATGTCAAAGCGAGCTCAATGCCATAGTCGTTGCAGAACGACCTCAGTGCCGCAGTTCGGAACTGCGGACCATTGTCTACGATGATCCGCTTAGGAATACCGAACCTGTACATAGATGACCGAGTAAGCCACAGATTATATTTGCATATAATGTACCAATGACTTAAGTCACTGTCTCGCCTCAAAATTAATACCCTTTGGCTAAGTGGTTGTTGTAGCGTAGCTTTAGGTGTCGAATCCACAGGGAAGCTATATTAAATCAACAAAAAGAGTTGTCATAATGAGAAATTAAATTAAAAGATGAATTATAAAATTAAGAATAAAAATATTTAAATAAAAGATAATAATTGTAAAAGATTAAAAACAATATTATGATGAACAAGACTTTAGGGTTCACTTAACTGATTTGTTTAACTGTTATAAATTTTGATTCCTATTTATTACTCAATTGCATGTTTCACATCCCAAACAAACAATCGGAAGATTCAACTTTGAAAACCAATAATAATGACTAATGTATTTATT